GAGAGGGACCCTGCTTTCTTTCGGGCCGATTTTAGCTGCCCTGTACCCACACCATGGGAGTTGGTTGGATCCTAAATGGAGGCCTTTAGTGCGTGTAGCCTGCCTTCATGGCACGGCTAAACATTCCCAGTATACAGAAACATCCTGGCTTAGCCAAAGGTATTTCTTAAGCCTCTTAATTCTTAGCAGAGGAGCTCATGCGGCAGTAACTAAAAAAACTATGTGCATGCAAAGAACATAGAAGAACGGAGTACTGAGTTCGTTTGGAGAAATATGTTTTTATAATTTTTGGGTCCATTGGCTGTTAGCTTACAGATATACTTATAGTTTCCTGTATGCGCATTAATTGATTTTTATTTTGGATCCCTTGTCTGTTAGGTTGATATATGTATTTTCCTATATGTGCAAAGTATTTTGGAAAGTTCCTTACCAACCAATGTTCCTGCAAATTAATTGATTTTAATTTTTTGATGGCGTAGAAAGATGGCGTCCCACATTGTTGGATACCCTCGCATGGGCCCCAAGAGGGAGCTCAAGTTTGCCTTGGAGTCTTTCTGGGATGGGAAGAGCAGCGCTGAGGATTTGGAGAAGGTTGCCGCCGACCTCAGGGCCAGCATCTGGAAGCAGATGTCAGAGGCTGGGATTAAGTACATTCCCAGCAACACCTTCTCATACTATGACCAGGTGCTTGACACAACGGCCATGCTTGGTGCCGTCCCGGACCGCTACTCTTGGACTGGCGGGGAGATTGGTCACAGCACCTACTTCTCAATGGCCAGGGGCAATGCCACTGTCCCTGCTATGGAGATGACCAAGTGGTTTGACACCAACTAGTAAGTCAATCTGCGTCCCTTGAATGCTGATCAGAGGTGAAATCTTTTCAGGGCATTGGTCATGCAGTTTTGCTTACTGGATTTCTTACTCTTTTGCAGCCACTTCATTGTACCTGAATTGAGCCCAGCAACCAAGTTCTCATATGCTTCACACAAGGCTGTCTCTGAATACAAGGAGGCAAAGGCGGTATGTTCCTTCACCCACAGCATTGTCTCAGCCTCCTTTTCATAGTAGTTTCCTTGCACATAATTTGGTAGTAAAAAATATCTTCTGACCTGTACTACTATTTTGTGCTAGCTATCTAAATCTGATCCCACAGTGCTAGTTTTTATGTCTTGCTTTGCTAGTTACATGTTCTTTGGTTAAAGTAGAGCCTTTAGCCACATCTGGATGAGACCCCATATCTTAGCAATCCCATACTGCAAAACGCTGACTCGTTGATTTTGTAACCTATACCTGAAGTTGAAATTTATAGTTCTGGAACAAGCATGTTTTTTCTGTCGTCCACAGAATAATGCATTACCATTTGCATACCTAACTGAATATAGAAATTCATTTCAAGGACCTGAATATAGAAATTCATTTGCCATGCTATTTGTCTTCACAAAATGATGCCTGCATGCTTACATGTTCTTCCATGCAGCTCGGTGTTGACACTGTTCCAGTGCTTGTTGGACCAGTCTCATACTTGCTGCTCTCCAAGGCAGCGAAGGGTGTGGAGAAATCATTCTCTCTTCTTTCACTTCTTGATAGCATTCTTCCCATCTACAAGTAAGCATCGGCTGACGCAACCAACTCCTTTTGTTTTAACTTGAATCTTCAGTTGATAATGTCATATGTTATATAAATTGCAGGGAGGTTCTGACTGAGCTGAAGGCAGCTGGTGCTTCATGGATTCAGTTTGATGAGCCCACCCTTGTTAAGGACCTTGCTGCTCACGAATTGGCCGCGTTCTCTTCAGCATATGCTGCACTCGAGTCGGCACTCTCTGGATTGAATGTGCTTATTGAGACATACTTTGCTGATGTTCCTGCTGAATCTTACAAGTACGTTTCTCTAGTGCTAATCCATTCTACTCGCCTTTTTATGTATTTCAAGGTGCTCTATTAAAACAGCAAAACACTAATTCTCTTGTAACCACAGGACCCTCACATCATTGAGTGGCGTGACTGCCTATGGTTTTGATCTTGTTCGTGGAACCAAGACGCTTGAGCTTATCAAGAGCGCTGGTATCCCATCTGGGAAGTACTTATTTGCTGGTGTTGTAGATGGAAGGAACATCTGGGCTGATGATCTTGCTGCATCTCTCAGCACTCTTCAGTCTCTTGAGGCTGTTGTTGGCAAGGGTAAGCAGTAAACAATATATTTATTATTTACTATCTCCAGGTCACAATTTAGGACGTTTTCAACATTGGCAGTTCTTTAGGTGAAACTTTGACCATCAGTTCCTATGAAAAATGTTGCTTCAGATAAAACCAAGTATTGATTATGAACATATGTTTCATGATAATCTAGTACTGTATTAATGTGTCGCAGATGTTGGTATTTGCTCTAAACTGATAGTTGTGATCAAACCTTAAAATGCTCCATTAGCACATATTCTAAAACGACCTACAGTGTGACTCAGAGGTGGTATTTGTTATCCATTGTCATTGCTTTCTGTATTAAACAATTGTGAATACTTTCTCGCAGACAAGCTTGTGGTGTCCACCTCCTGCTCACTGATGCACACTGCTGTTGATCTTGTGAACGAGACTAAGCTTGACAGTGAGATCAAGTCATGGCTCGCATTTGCTGCCCAAAAGGTGGTTGAGGTGAATGCACTTGGCAAGGCTTTGGCTGGTCAAAAGGATGAGGTATGCTATTCTTTTCTCTCTCTCACTATAGCCTGGTGCTTGTTTGCACCACTTCAATTGCAACTCCTAACTAACTTTACTGACATGTAATGTTGAATTTTGTCAAATACAGGCCTACTATGCTGCCAATGCCGCTGCTCAGGCCTCAAGGAGGTCCTCACCCAGAGTGAACAACGAGGAGGTTCAGAAGGCTGTAAGTTCACTGAAGTTCGGTCATATACACGCACATTAAGAGTTCGCACATGCCAATTATTAACAGGAAGTTCATTTCTTACAGGCGGCTGCTTTGAAGGGCTCTGACCACCGCCGCGCTACCCCTGTTTCTGCTAGACTGGACGCTCAGCAGAAGAAGCTCAACCTTCCTATCCTCCCAACTACAACAATCGGTTCATTCCCTCAGACAATGGACCTCAGGAGGGTCCGCCGTGAGTACAAGGCTAAGAAGTGAGTCCCTCTAGATGGACTTTTCTTGTGATATTTCCTGTGATTTTTTTTTGAAAATTTGTGTCACCGCAGGATCTCTGAGTAGACTTTTCTTATAATATTTCCTGCATTTTTATTGAATATTTGTGTCACTGCAGGATCTCTGAGGAGGAGTATGTCAGTGCTATCAAGGAAGAAATTAGCAAGGTTGTCAAGATCCAAGAGGAGCTTGACATCGATGTGCTCGTCCACGGAGAGCCTGAGGTGAGCAATGCTAATTAATATTGTTTGTTGCAGACTCATTTGCAACATGTTTGGACGTTTTGAAATGAAGCTATATCTTTCTGTGGATCATTGAAATAGGAATTTGCTTAAGCATATTGTGTTTGTTCTCCGGTAACTTAGTGTATGCACATTTTTTGACTATTTTTATGTACGTTTCAGAGAAATGACATGGTTGAGTACTTTGGCGAGCAATTATCTGGTTTTGCATTTACTGCCAATGGATGGGTGCAATCCTATGGATCACGTTGCGTGAAGCCACCGATCATCTATGGTGATGTCAGCCGCCCCAACCCCATGACAGTCTTCTGGTCCAAGATGGCTCAGGACATGACCCCTCGCCCAATGAAGGGAATGCTGACTGGTCCTGTCACAATCCTCAACTGGTCTTTTGTCAGGAACGACCAGCCAAGGTTGATACCGCCTCCTAGCTTCTTACATCTATTTTGATTTGACGGCCTTCAAGTGGAGGTGTTTTAACTGCTACTAATCGGTACACCACTTCTTGGTCTACAGGTTTGAGACATGCTACCAGATTGCCCTTGCCATTAAAAAGGAGGTTGAGGATCTCGAAGCTGGTGGTATTCAGGTTTGTACTAAGTTTTCTTTTGTCATTTCACCATATCATTACTGTGTCCATGTGGCATGTGTAACAAATACGCTTCGGTCATCTGCAGGTGATCCAGATCGACGAGGCTGCTCTAAGGGAGGGTCTGCCGCTGCGCAAGTCGGAGCATGCTTTCTACTTGGACTGGGCTGTCCACTCATTCAGAATCACCAACTGCGGTGTGCAAGACACCACTCAGGTAATCTACTTGGAATGCCATGAAGGTATTCAGGAAATCTTTGTTGCCATCATCATCCATCCCTTATGAGACATGTTTTTTCCTGGGCAGATCCACACCCACATGTGCTACTCCAACTTCAACGATATCATCCACTCCATCATCAACATGGACGCCGACGTCATCACCATCGAGAACTCCCGCTCCGACGAGAAGCTCCTGTCGGTCTTCCGCGAGGGCGTGACCTACGGAGCCGGCATCGGCCCTGGCGTCTACGACATCCACTCCCCCAGGATCCCCTCCACGGAGGAGATTGCCGACCGCGTCAACAAGATGCTCGCGGTGCTCGACACCAACATCCTGTGGGTGAACCCCGACTGCGGCCTCAAGACCCGCAAGTACACGGAGGTGAAGCCCGCCCTGACCAACATGGTTGCCGCGGCCAAGCTCATCCGCACCCAGCTCGCCAGCACAAAGTGA